TCTTTTCCAACCTGAATCGTTCTATGATTCTTATGAAATCCACTGACCTTCTTCCAAAAAAGAGGGAACACAGAGAACACCTTTCTGCTTGCTATAAATATTGTTAAAATTTGGCCCACCTTTGCATGCCTCCCCAGTTCTCCACATTTTAATGCACTGCATTAAAACAACTACAGGTATTCCATGGTATTACGGTAGCCACACACAGGCGTAAGGTGCCAGCACACAGGTCTCCAGTGCAAAACAGTGGTTATTGTAGGTGTAGAGGTAGACAGTGCTTAGAGCCACACTTTCCTTCTTTGGGCTTTGTTGCATAACGTGGCTGCTACCTCCATGGCAGAAGCAAGCAGAACTCCAGGGCAGATGCTCTGTGTGGCCTGAAAGCCCATTGGGATGTGAGAGACAGCAAACATTTGTCAGGTTTGTTTTTCAAGTTTTTCCACTGAGAAGAGGGAATCACCCCTACAGCAGCTAGAGCAGTCACCCCCATGCAGGTCAGTCCCACTGCCCAGAGGGCTGTGCCTGCCCCAGAGCAAACTGTCCCACCTGCTGCCTCTCATCGACAAACAGCTGCCCCAGGAAGAGCTCATCACAGCCTCTCTAACCACTTAAAATTCACAGAGTCTGCTGGGCAGCTTAAATTGCAGGTCTTTGCCAATAAAGCTCTTTCTTTTTGGTTGACAGGAGTAGAGGAGTCCTTGTCTGAGGAGCTCAGCAAGATGGTCTGAAGGGACAGCATTTGGAGTGTAGCAGCCTCTTCTTGTGGCTCTTCTGGAGCTGTAAGGCAGCTATCCTCAGCTCTACACCTTTCAGTCTGCAAACTGTTGTAAAGGTGTCGTCACTCTAGCTTCTTGTGACAACCTCCCAGCAAGGCTAGCAGATGAAAGGAGAGTCGTTCAGCACAAAGCTAGCTGCTGGCATGCAGCCACACGTGGCTGGAAGTAATCCAGTTTACTAACTGCAGCAGGTTAGGAGACGCTCCCTGGGTCTCCTGGGCTACACTGTGGGGAGCAGTGATCTCCAGTGAACAGACAATGATGAACAGCTCTGAGTGTAAATTCCTCAGTTCGTACAGCTGGACCTGGAACAGGATGTTTGTAAAGTATCTTCAAATATCATTACAGAGTTCCTTCAACAATTCAGGCTCGTACTGTTGTAACTATTTCAGCTAAAATTCTCCCTACCTGTACCTTAATACTGTCACAAACACTTTGTAGGTTTGTAAGACTATTTAAGGTGCAGGCACTTAAGAGGATTAAGCATCGTCTATTTGTAAAGCACTTTGAACAGACATCACACTTTAAGTACCAAGTGTTACCTCTGTGTGAAATGGCCAGAAACCACTATCCGGCTTGGTGGTTCCCAGGGCTGGCAGGCACACAGCGTGTAAGGACAGAACAAGCCTCAGGTGCATTACAGAGCACTCCGAGCACATCCCGGGTTCTGCTTTCCCCACTGCAGACCAGCCGAGAGGAGGGAAACGATCCAGGCAGGGATGGCTCATGACAGGGAAAAGCATTTGCTGTCCTCAGTAAGAGGATCAAGTGCTGATAAGCAGAATCCAGAGGGCATGAAGATAAGATTTGCTCCTCCCCTTTCCCACAGGGACTTCTCACAGTGGGTCCAGGCCCCTCTTAAGACTGCACCATGATGATAAGGCACAGCTGGGACCTCATTAACATCATCCCCTGCTTCTGAAACATTGGTACCACAGAGTCCCCCTGACCACACAGATGAGCAGCTCTGAACAGGGACAGACTCCTGAGCCTCTGCGCTGGGTCTGCATCCACCTCGCGAATGCAGCGTGACTTTGCAGAACTGAATGAAGTAAAATATTCTAGTTAAGAACATTAAGTATATGTGACAGGCATGAAGGCACAGAGCCTGGACTTCATTAAGGTAGTTTTTATATTTTTAAAAGCAATATTAAAAAACACTGGAAAATGCAAGATAAATGTAACATTTGCTTCTACAAGTTTTAACCCTGTATTGCTTGGCCATTTTGACATATAAATTATTGCTTACTAGCTCTCATAAATACACAACACAATAATAAGTACAGAGGCAGACAAGCATGAAATATGAAAAGGAAAACATTGGTAACATTGATTCTGGTAAATCAGATTATTTCATACATACCAAGTCTCATAAGGGTGGATAACTACTAGCTGTAGTCCCTGAGAAGTTAGGTAAATACCTTGATTTGGGGTTTTCTATTTTATTACTTTTAATGCAAGATGACAGCATTACGGCACTCAGAGAGAACGAAACAGGCAGGTGTTCTTACCCCAGCTCACTGACTTCATCCCAGTATTTAACAGTGTATAAGATGACAATAAATAGGCTATGTAAATAAATATTACTCTGCTAAAATATTTAGTATTTACATATTTCTTCATAATTTTACAGCAGCATGTCTTATTATTTCTGATAATATCTTTTTTTTTTCTGCCACTGTCACACAAATGCAATTTAATTTCTACCCAAGATGGGGCTAGAAGCAAAAAGCTGTGTCACAGAAGCATCTACAGTTGATGCAACAAAATCCCACACCAAAGAGGTACGGAGCGACTCAGCTTTTTTCTTTGTTTGTTTAATTACTCCTCCTAGCTACTAAAGAAAACACGCAGAGTATTCAATACCAGATGCAATTGTGATAAACTGAACTTACATGATTCATGAATTTTATCCTATGTAACATAATTGCACTACTGAAGGGTTTTTAAAATTCACACAATATCACCAGTGCTGGACCCTGGCAGAGGCTGTGTAGTGTCTCCCTTCCCTTTCACAGGCTTTACTTCTAGTTCTCCTCCCAACAACCACACCTTGAAACTGCTTGCCAGTCCGCAGCCCAGCTCTGCGATACTTCATCTGTTGAATGAAGACTCTGAAGGGCATTTTTTTATTCGATATATTAGCTACAGATTTGGGCTATCTGCCTTTCATTTATAGTAAGAATTAAAAGGTCTGTATTTTCAATGTGCAAGTGATGCACCCACATCAGCTCTTCTCAGACCAGAAATTTATATCCAAGTTATACAGGCCACTACGAAAACTAGTTTGCAGAGTTTTAAACAGTAGTCTAATTAGCCACAACATAGATAATGAGGTTAATGCTGGCGATGTGCCTTCAAACTGATTTTGTGCCAGCTGCAAGGGGTAGACAACACCCCATTTAGTATGAAGTCACAGCGGTGCAGAGAGCCACTATCTAAGCTGGCTTGAAGCCTGCTGGGGTAAGTTAACCCATCCATTTATTTTAACCATTTTGAACAGACAGCGTGAGGAGTCTTCAAGGGGGCTCTAGAATGCTTTCAAATCAAAGCCTGCACACAGAGTCATCCTGCTTCTGTTGGGTTTTTTTTATTTTGTTTTTTCCTCTTTCATTTTTCTCCCTTCCTTCATTTCCTTGTCTTTTATTCTTCTCTGGCACCGCTGCTGCTTCATCAGCAGTAACCACCAAAACTATCACAGAGCCAAACGCAGTGAACTGAGACACAGCCCCACCTTCTCACCCTGAATACTCTCTAATGTTCCCTCTCCCACAGAATCCAACAGACCAATTTGTGCACTAGAGAATTACACCACAGGAGCTAAAGGACACAAGCTCCTCGATACAATGCCACAGTAAAGAAGATTTCACAAGGGGGAGCTCAAAACCCAGTAAACCACCTAGGCAATGCAGCTAGGGTGGGGATTCCGGGCGGGCTGCAGCCAGAGGAAGAACTGTGATTAACACAAGCAGCGAATTGTATCTGGTTTGTGTTCTTACACTGCAAAAAGGAGCCCTCTGCAGCTAGTATCCTCATCTGAACAGTTTTGGTCTGTTTACACAAAAGAGTTATTTACAGTTATTTACAGTGCAGTCACATCTACAGAAGAACATAGGAAATTCTTACTCCATGGCCAGCAAGAGTTTATTTTTTTTCTTTTTACTGGGTAAAAAGAAGAAAATTTTTTTCTAAAAAAAAAAAAATCATATAGTATTTGATAATAACAAAGTACAAGCAAATACATTTCTGAAACATCTGTTTCCTTTACAATAGATCTATACAATATTTCACAGATGGGAAAACCAAATGCATTCTACAGATTCCCCCACAGACTACTTGTTAAAGCTGCTTTTTAAAATCCCTTTAAACCAGAGATAACACAATGATGAAGAGCATGCTACTTCAGTACTCCCACATTTCAGTAAAGGCGGATTTTCTTGGAAGTCTTCCTCACATGGAAAACATACAATAAAGATGGGCAAGCAATGCAATGTATCTTCCCTTGCTCTGGAAAAGGGCAGTAACTGTAGATCAGTGTACAAACACACGCCAGACAGAGCAGTACACTGCACACTGCCTGTGGCACACATGCAATTATTCCAGGGCAACTTCGGAGCACTGAAAAACAGAGCTAGGGTGGCAGTGGTGCTTAGATGTAGGTCAACTGTAGACAAAACTTTAGAAATGCTGCCCCGGTACATGCCCAGAAGTAGTACTTTCAGCTACAAGAAAATTGTCTAGGAGCAGTGTGTGAGAAGGACAGAAGCAGTAAAGGGAATGTGGTGCTGAAAAGCCCAGTGTGTATGCAGGTAATCACACTGGCACCCTGCAAGGTGTATCCTTTTGCTCTAGTAGTGTGTGCAAGTTAGGTGAGATTTTTACCTACTGAAAGAGTATTTCCAGGAGGTGAGTTAGGAGTGTAGGTAGATCTAGGCATTGCCTCTGAACAGACACCGACGACGCTGTAATCCAAGCAGAAAACAAAGCTCCTGCTATAATCATTTATAACACATTAACTGCAGGAGCTGGTACTGTATCTGAGATAACCGAAAATGAAGAAAATAACAGTTTTTCAGTGTACAAAGAATTGTGTCCATAAACTGCGACTGAAGTGGATTGGCTCTTACAGCGTGTTTTAGAAAGCAGATTCTTAAGGGGTTGTAATAGCGTGAACTGTTTACCACTGACCTCTGCATCACGATGCACTCGAGTTTGATCTGGTGTGTCTTTTATATCCCCCTTCTTGGTTGTCCGCACTTATCTTAAATAATACGCTCCAGTGGACTCAGGGTTGCTGCACAGATTGCACAGCGTTTTTGGCAATAATACTTTGGCAGCCTTGAATTAGCGAGGTACGTACTGTGGTGAACTGAGAATCACTCCCCTCGCGGCATGTTGCTTGCTGAAATGTTTTGCTGCTGCGACACGACGGTTCCTTTCGTTCTAATAGTGGCAGAATCTGCACTGAAAGCTACAACGGACCAAACAATATTTTCACAGAAACCAAGCTCCTGAGCTCAAAGGATGCTGCTCAGCTCCCTCTCGTGCTGGTGACCAGCGGGGATGGCACCAAGCTTGCCCTGCAACAATGTGAGCAGCTCCTTTGCTGGCTCTTGCCTGATTTTCCTGTGCATGTTGTGTGAGCTACTGATAAAACTCAGTAAACTGTTCTTATATAGGGAAGCAACATGCTTGGCATAAACATTCACTTAATTCAAAGTGCTGCAGTTACAAGGTTATATGAAGCTGTGCACGCTCACACTCGCGGCTCTATCCTGTGAGAAAGCTCAAACAGAGCTTGCTGGTTGTCGATGACATGCAGGTGATGGATGTATGGCTTCAGCTCATGATGCTCTTTCGAAGTAACTTCATTGCCTGCAAGACAGGAGAAAGGGCATGGATCAGAAAACCACACCTTGCCTGCTTCTCTGTCCCGTGCATTATGAAGTCCCCCGTGTGCCAACCTGTCAGGGGCTGGACAGGGACAAGAAGGACGGCCAGTGATCCAAAGAATTTGCTGCTGAAGTGCAATGCAAGAGGTAACAGATACAGGAAAGGGGAGAAGAAAGAAAGAAATCAGCAATCCTGGGCAGCTGGCGTGCACAAAGGCAGGTGACAAGAAGCTGCCTCCTCCCATGTGGAAGGCTTCCTCCTGCTGGCAGTACCGGCAGTCTGTCCCCTCTAAGCGTGGTTCAAAGTTTCTTTTGTGCCCCTCTGGCAGCACAGTGGGGCCTTGAGCGGAGGGGGTGACCCAGCTTGTAACTTTTAAACAGCCTTAACATGAGTACACAAGACAGCAGGCCCCGGACCATCTCCTTCAGAGCAGGTGAAAGGTGACAGGGCAGCAGATGGATTCGAGAGCTCTTCAAAGCTGCTCGGCCAGGCCCCCACGTTTCATCTGCCATGCTTCTGATTTCTGACCTACTAACAGAGACAAGTCATGCTGTCATTTCAGGGGAGTTTACACAGCAAGAGGAATAAACGGTGTAACAGACAAACTGAAGGGTGACTTGAAGAGCAGATGTTCCCTGTTACAAGCTTTGTGCCCGACACTGATTTGTGGGGACCCGCCGCCTGTGAAACCCTCCAGCACAGCTGGTGACCCGCGGGAGTGGAAGAGGAAAAGCTAAGCCCGTGGCCACGAGATACGTCGCAACAGGGAGAGAAAGCAACGAGATGTGTCTCCCCATACGTTTCTCACTGCTGACAAACAAGCGAAGGTTGGGAGAGCTCTGTTCTAGTCTGTATCCTCAAGGATTTTTTAATAACATTACCACAAATTAGAAAAGAAATCCCCTCGAAATTCCCTGAACCAATCAGCTTAACTCGCACACTCCCTCCCTCTCCTTTGTTTCACTGTCATCCTTTTCTCCATGCTCTCCAGATACGTAAGAAGCTTTCCAGGAACTGAGCATCCCTCTTGTCTCTGGAAAGAGCTGTGTAGGCAACGTGGGATGTCCGATGCTGTGCAGGTAACGTGGGAGGTCACCGCAGCCAGTTCTGTGTGTGGCTGCTAATGGGGCTCCCGGGCAGCTATTTTTAGGAGCTATCTAACTTGAGAAATCCGAGAGAGAACAGGACAAAACAATAAACTTGTGTCAGGATACAGAGATGACCTTTTTGTTCTCAAGTAAGAGGATCCCAGCAGCTCTTGGGCCAATCTGGGAATTGATGCAGGAGAAAGATTCACATTCTTGAGAGCAAAATAAGCCCACTAGAAAAGGAAACTGTCCATAAAGTCTCAATAAATATTCAGTGAATTCATTTCATGCCTAAACAAATTTAAGAAAAAAAAAAAGTGCCTACAGGGATGTCTGTATAAGCTGCTTTTTAAATGCCAGCTTTACAATAAATCAAGTCTGTGGTAAAATAAAATAACAATCACATACTTCAAACTATCGGATTATACAATAAATCTCAGGTATTAACCTCGGATTTATACCGCAACACTTAAAAACACACTTGGAAAAAAAAAAGGCAAAAACGAGATGAAAGATTTGCAGAGAAGCTGCAAAAAACCCCACACCTATATCATAAAAAGACACCAGTGCTACATCGTATAATGCCAAACAAGTGACATTCAAAGTTACAGAGGCACAGTTTGGATTGATCAGTATTTCCTTCAGTATCTAGTTTAACAGAATAAAGACACATCCTTCTTCTCCCTCTCCCTTTCCTATATATGTCCCTCAAAATAACAAAAGGATGATAACATTGAGCAGCCTTTGTTTAAAAAAAAAGACTGTACATACACATGGTATTTCTGCAGAACAAACATTCAGCAAAGCTCTCAACAGTACCTATCGTTCTCCAAGGTACATATATTTATACACCAAATTATAATTATTATTATTCTTTTTGTTGGAGTCCATGCTGAGAGCTGCTGAAAATCCAGCTAGAAAAAAGCAATTATTCCAACTTTTTTTTCTCAAGGCGGCAGCACAGTTCTGAACTTTTCTTTGGAAAACAGGTTTTAGTGCGCCTCAATAAATGACATGTTTAGTGGGTTTGGCTTAGAAACTAACCACTTCCTAAAACAGCATTGTCCTTGTTCCCTCCCTGTGTTTAACCTCTCTGCACAGAATAAGAAAAACAAGGTTTCTCTGCTGTGAGCAGCAGAACAAAGTGAGCTGGGGTCATCTGGCATGGTCCCTTAGGGTTGGATTCTCTGGTGACTAATAAAGTGGAAACACATACACGCACACAAAAATGTCTTTTTTGCAGCTGAGACACTCCTGACGTTTTCCATCAGCGGCTCCCTCCAGTGTCTAAAGCAGGCAGAGCTCTATTTGTAGGCTAACAACTGCTTTGCTACCCCTAGCAGAGGTACTAACATAACCCTGTGTTTTCTACCTAGTCAACTATTTTGTTGAAACCCACGGGATCTTAGTACCTTCAAGACTTCTACCACTTTGTGAAATGTCTTTAAGAACCCAAACTAAGCAAACAATTCCTCTTGGTGAAGAGCTAAGTGAAAAGCTGTGGTGACAAATACCATATTGTAGCTACTGGAAGCCAAGACAGCTGTGAATTGATTACCAAAAGACACAGACTAGCGGGAGACTGAGATAACTCAGTTATAGCTGGGAAAGTGAGAAAAAACAGCATACATCAGAGGCCTCCATTATTAAGTGCAGCTGGCACAGATCTTACACAGTATTTTAAAGTGGTACTAATTTTTGCAGGAAAATAATTAAAAATTTGGAAGCTGTTTCTACAAACATTTTGTAAAGTAAAACTCCATCCAACTGTGGTTACTGCTATGCTGATCTTCCAGCAATGATACACTCTCTTGCCAATTGGTTAAATAACTGTCTACTGTGTTTTGCTGCTCTGGTAAACCTGAGCAAGGGGAATGAAAGCAGAAAAACAGACCAAACAAACAAACAAAAACCCCTCAAGATTGTACAAAGGCAAAAGTAGCAAATTTTGACTACTCACCAAACTGGTTATTTCTGCAATGTCTCAACGACCGAACAGTATCTGCAATCATGTGCTGCAAAGACAAGATATAAAATATCAGCGTGAAAATCTGAGATGATTCTGTCATTAGAAAAGCGTGAAGAAATCTCCTTGCCCTATGCTGTACAGCAAAAATCAACTGTACCAAGGTAGAAATTGAAGACGGTGGGAGAGAGCCTTTGTTCTTTGTTTTAGCGATAACATATGATGAAACAGGGTTAGACTAGAAGGCTGTTACCGATATCACACAGATTAAATGAGACAACTCCCTAAGAGCCCATAGAAAGGGGTAATGAAAAACAGCCGAGCAATTTTTTTTTTATCAAACTAAAAGCCTACTGCAGGGAAGCCCCGTGTACCAGGTGGGTGCTTCTGCCTTCAACTCCAAGCTTTTGTGCATTATTCAGGGCACTGGGTAGTCAGCACTCTTTCCTTCTGTCTCCACGTGTTGTCTAAATTAGGCTGTAAGCCCCTTTGTGGCACAGATTACACCTTAACACACACTTATCTAATGCCTTAGCACAATCAGGCACCAGTATCAGCAAGGCAGTTTTCTGCAGTATGATCACCAACACAAAAATCATAACCCATAGCCTAAACGCTGCAGAGCAAGCACCCTGACATCTCCGTAGAGAAGTGCTGTAGGTATACTATTTTAAGAAAAGCTGGTGCTAACAGGGATACTGGATGTTCACTTAGATTAAGCAGACAAAATAAGAGGTTTAAGTCTGGTTTCTCATTCAGGCTCAGGCCTTCAACTTCTGGAAAGTGGAACTGTTCACTATAAATCAGTGGAGTGTGCTCATTTTCACTACGTGTCATCCATGAAGTTCTTGAGGCATTGCTTTTTTTCCTTTATTTGCTTCTCTGGCAACCTTTCACGAAATCTAGTAAGCAATTTAAGCACACTGCAGTTAGCAACTGCTAATGCAGACACCTGATGCTCTTCTTACATCTCCCTCAAAAACACTCAGGGGCAGAAAGGATTAACTGTCTCGAGCAGAGTATGTTTAAGACCAGAATGACGCAGAACAGCTCATCTCTCAACACCCTGGGAGTGGCTCACAAGGCTCCTCCACAGAAAAGCTTATCACAAGAGCATGTTTAATGGAAACTTCATATTCCTTTCATCAGTGAATCAAAATAATTTTTCTTGTTACCCGCTGTGCTTCATTTGCCATGAAATCACATAATCTCTTGTGCTGCTGTCCTTGCACTGATGATAATGAAGTTCTAATGAGATGATCTAGTTTTCATGATCAATAGTGTGAGTACTTCGAAAGCTACAACTTCCACCAGTGCTGCTGCTGTGACATTTTCCAGCTGACACCCTTTGCATTTGTTTTTTAGAATGAGGCCCCACTATCACACACACCGTCATTCTTTGCTGTTTCTCCTTTCCAGTCAGTCAGCATGGATGTCTATCCCAAGACAGGCTTCTGAAGGTGATGCTCCGGTAATAGAAGAACATCTTTGTATAATACTCTCTTAAAGTAGAATCTTAAATCTCCCAGCTTTAGTGGCCTAATTAGGCATTTCTCTCTGTTCGTTTTCAACTCTCTGTGATCTAGTTGTAATACAGAAAATCAGATAATTCCTCTGCAAAGCAAATGCTATTTTCTGACTGTTTAAACAGGTGCTTGCATACCCTTAGTGTGATGAATAATACGCATTTCTTCCAGCTACCCAGGATCACTAGCCCTCCTTTAACAGAGGACAGCAAAAGCTCAGGCTTGGAACTTGCACAGCTATTTGAGGGGGTGAGGGTTGAGAACCTTCAGCTGCATGTACAGAGTCCTCACAGCTGAAGGCATTAGGTTAGAAGGCATTATCTAAAATAGTAACAGCCATTGACCTATATTAGAGTTTGCTGGAGTGTGGCTAAGACATGTCATTGCTAAGACATAGGTGATGGCTGACTGAAGAAAAAAATCTGAAGAAGCCACATTTCAGTGAAGCAGCTCAGTAAACACCATGGAAATATCTTGAGACAAACAGTGTAGGACCGTATTTTCATTTATTCCTTCAGATTTAGTTGAGGAAGTGGATATGGTATTAAATATCGATCTAATACTATTCTAGAGTTTATCTGGAGTTAAATAAACCACTGCAATGCCTTCAACTTTTGCTAAAACTAAGTAACGCTCCTGAGAAATATCATTTCATTTTCTTCTCTTTGCAAATTCCCTTCTTTATATTTTGAATTAGCTTTGTCTTCACTGCAATCATGTCATGTCAAATCAAGTTCAGTCACGGTAGGATTGTTGAGGCCACGATAGTCTAAGAATATAAAAGAAGCATGCAGTGCAGGGAGAGAGAATATTTTTTATCAAACTAGCTGATATAGACAGAAAAAACAGCAGTTCAGACTGACAAGTCCTCCTTCAGGTGAGATGCTTAATGCAGAAATGAAGTATTTCAAAATACTGATCCAAATGGAGACTTGACAAACCACCTTTGCTTTAAAATTCATAAGTAGAAATTTTATGCATTTATGTCAGTAAGCTCCTTCCCCAAAGCAGTAATCTGCTATGGTAGAATAATTCTTTTCTTCTTCTGCAACAGCAAATTTGCAGGTGAGGTTCAGTGACTTGATCCAAACCAAGCAAGAGCCAGTGTCAATCCTAATTTTTCTCAGCAGAGGCCAGAAAGTGCTCAGCACAGTACAGAACACCAAGGAAAACATTCTGCCTCAGGACAAAGCCCTTACAATTACAAAGGAAACATGAACTGATGTATAGGTGATCAGATGTTGTGCATCTTGTTAGTAAGTTCATACTCCTTGACTAAATACCTTAGCATCTGTCAGCGTTTAGTGGCTAGCCCAGCCCTAACCCTCAACAGATAAACTGGTGCCCAATGTGGGGCTTGAGTAGCTACAATGTGTGATGGCAAAACGGTGTAACACCTACACAGACGTTTAATCTGATGCCACACACAGAAGAGAATCAAAAATAAATCAATGTTAACTTCAGAAAGTGCAATCCCTTGGAAGAGACTGCACAGAAAAGTAAAAATCACTGAACAGAATGGGTTCTGTTTAGCTCAAACTGCATGCAAATGAAGCAGTGCAATACATGTACTGCCTGAGTCTGCACTGCACTCATATTTAAATCTCTCCTAAGCTCCCACTTCCTAAGCTTGCACTATTGCCTGCATTCATATGTACACAGGGCTCCATGAGACAGCAGTTCCTCAGAGTGTGATCTGACTAATAATTCCAAGGAAGTGTCAGTTTGAACAACCCTCACCCCACCACCATCACCTCACACTCTCCCCCTCCTGCCATTTAAAATGCCCATTATCCACTTGCATGGAAAAGGTGAAATCCTGGCTCACAGAAGTCAATTAGCAAAGATCCCACTGCCTCTGGAGACACCATGGTGACAGAAAGAACAGGAAATCTTACCCAGCAAGCCCAACATACATTAAACATAGACATGATTAAACAACAAACAAACAAACTGAAAAGGTTTGGTTAAGACTGGAACAAGAATCAGATCCTACATTTTCAATAAATAAATATATGGGCCAGTGGGAGGATTTTAGTAACAATTATTGTGCATCAAGGGCTAGTTTAATTTACATGTTAATTGGATGTACTTCCAAGAGGCAATGAAGAAGAACATGCTAATGAGTTTTATGCAAACACCTAAAGGTCAAACAGTTAATGGACTTGGGACAGGAAAACCTTTCATTAAATGCAAATCAGCGTTCTTGTAAACCGCAACAAGGAAAGGTACAGAAATCAAATAGAAAACACAAAAAAGAGCTCAGGTTCAAAAGTCAAAGCCTACATCTGCTTGCAAGTTGAAAGACAGCATACATTATGATAGGATGTGAAAATAAGTTCAACATCTGTTTCATGAATAACTCTATGGTTGCACATTCATTCTTAAAAAAGTGTAAACACAGGGAGAAAAGAGTCGGGAACAATTCAGCAGGCACAGCCACCTGGACTAACAGTCCCATAGCACACCTAGAGCAACTGGGAAGAACATTTGGGTTTCTTGATCCAATACTCCAGGCCAACAAAAAAAAAAAATAAAAAATTGAAGTTTCTCCACCACTGTTCAGACATATAAACTGGGCCTTTCAGTGCTACAAAAATTTTGTCAACAAAGAAATGAAATTTGCAGATTAGAGAAATCAAACCTCTATTAGTACTATCATGCCAGAGTAGGTGCCATAGTACGTCTAGTGTAGAATGTGGCAAAAGATACAATGTCAGCAACTGCCTTCCTACATAAAAGTTAGTATAGTGGTATTTACAGTCAGTTTAATTCGTATTTCAGGCATTATTTTCATCATCGCCTAAACTAAATAAAAAATTTTACTTTCTTTTAATTCCTGGAAATAGCATACCAGTGGCAAGTGATAAACTAGAAAAACCTTTTCTTCAGTGCCTTGAGAAAAAAAAAAAAGGAAACATAATTCAGAGAAAGCTGAAGCAGGAGAAGTTAACTGAGAAGAAGTAGTCCACGAGGTGGTGCAAAGGAATAGATCTCACTGGGGAAAAAAATGGGTGGACTGTGCAGCAGTGATGTTGGCTGTGGCTGGCTTAGCCATTTTACACGAAAATGGGGGAGGAAGGAGTGAGAAGAGAGAGGAGCAGAGGAAAGGGGTAGGGGAGATAAATTGTTGGCTGTTTTGCCCTGCTTGTTCTTTTTTACCTCTGCTTATTTCTTCCTGATTCAGTCAGAACAAAACCTTTCAGTCTTACAAGATAAGGAAGGGAAAGGAAAGGATGGAACATGAATCTCTTTAAAAGCAGGAAGGACAAAATTAGCTTACCAGCTTTTCAAAATTAACAAGGTTATCCAGAAAAGTTTTATTTCCTTCGTGGATGAAAGTTACATCTGAAAAAAAAAAAAAGGAAAATTAATTCTTTTTCATAGCTTTGTTATTTAATACAAAGAAATAATTATTAAACTGCAACGAAAAAAGAACAAAAAAGAGGAAACTATCCCATTAGGGACATGCACATCATAATGAGGATTTCCAAGTTGGAGCACAGATTTCTAACTAAACCTGGTCTGTGTTAGTACTGAGGTGTGTATCATGCAGAGGATGGCTGGGAGCAGGCGGAGGCTGCATCCCCAGAGGGATGGGCAGCCTGGCACGTCTGCTCTCAGCACTCTGCAGTGCTGATCTGGCCACTGGCAGGTCCCTCAGCCTGAAACTCCACTGGACAGAGCCACCAGACACTGGAGTTGGCTCCGACACTCCCTCATCTCTCTCTGAGAGACATAATGGCTCTGAAGCCCTCCCCAGAGGCACTGACTACAGCAGTGGCTAGCTGGGAAAGTTAAACACAAGCTACCAAACTTGAGTTCAAAGCCTTGAAGTAAGCATTATAGCTAGGGACGAAAATACTTCTCACACGGAGCTGTTCGAGACAATTTGCAAAGGCAACAAAAAGGTCAGGGAGAGGAAAAGGAAAAGGTCTATATTTGGCTCCAGGATGGGAAATGAATGCAGTGTAATGAACTGGAGCAGGGGAAATATCAGCCAAAACAAATGTTTCTAAGTTAAGATTACATTTAAAACAGCAGCTTGAGGTCATTTTCTCCATTTTATATGCTTATTAGGACGCAAAGTGAGACCTCTCTCAGACGTGAAGTACCAAGCACGTAGACAGATTGCCCCATGGGACTGAAGCTCTGACTCTGACAGTACATCCTCCATACGAGCCAGCAGGGACACCACCACCACCACAGCCCCTGTCAGCTCTCTCCTGGATGTGCAGGTACCAAGTCCCAAGAGGACACAGCACTATTGCCGTGAGACAGCCCTCCAACATCATTCCTTCTTAAAAGTCACAGCTCTATCTGCCAGCAGGCAAATGAGACACAGTAAATGAGCAACACCTCCCTCTCAGTAGAGGTGCCAAGCTCTGAGCATGTATCTCCTGTGCTCCTCTCTAGGACTCCCTCTGATGCCCACTCAGTCCACCTAGTTTCGGGGGATTTTAGGACTGTGAACCTGCAGCTCATGCTGGGTGGGTGACGTTTTATCATCCCCAACCCCAAAAAAGACAACCTGATTTATTTCCTTTTGTTTCAAAGACAGAGGCATTTTTGTAATTGCCTAGAATCAAAATGTAAACAGATTCATACGCTGGTAGAAACCAGAGGCTGGGATTCATTAGGCAGAGGGGTGATGGAAAGCTCCCATGCCCCCGGGGCAAGCACAGCACATGCCTCCAGCACTTCCCTGCCCCTGGGTAGTATCCTAAAAATCGGAGGGAAAGGCGGAAGCACTCTTCTACACCTCCTCTGCTGGGCTGCTTTGGGGCACCCAGGGAAAGGAACAGGGAGAGGACATGGTTTCAGGACACAGGCATTACTTGTCTCTGCATCAATTCAGTTAAAAACTGTTCCTCGCTTCTAAAAACCTTACACTGGAAGCAGAAATTTCCACACAGCTTTTTAAGTCAATGACAGCAATGTGTATACCTCCGTGGGTGGAAGAACAGGAATTTGCTTTACAGCCAACAACTAAGAGTCTCGATAAATTCAGTGGAGCAGAAAATTGCATCTGAGCTATGCTGTAAGGGTACATCATAGTATTTTATTACATATTTGCAAAATCTGCCTGACTTTCAAAAGCTGTGTCTGTATACTGTAAGAGGACTCCGCATTTAAATTTAATTAACTTTAAAAGGACATTCTAAAGTTATTTTTCATAACTGAAGAGAAGTTATTAATGATTTTCAGTTTTTTTCTTGAAATTACTTTTGTTCTCTCGTGTCAAAATATAGTAATTTGTTGAGTTATTAATGATTTCTATAGTGTCAATGCTTATTTTATCAGTCTTGGAAATAACGTTGATACAAATACACTCAACATAGAATAAAGTCCTATGTACCATGCAATACTTTGGGAATTGCCAATCTGAGTAACATCTCCTTGTGGATCACTGTAATCAAAAAAATTACTGCATTAATTTGCAAAGTCTCCTTTCGATCTCCAACACATTTTAGAGACACGAATGCTGCTTATGTGTGCGTTCTTACAGACCATATTGTGGTGCTGCACAAACATCATTGCTACAAGTTACTTGTTTATGTTTGCTGCCTTTGTTTGCAGGCAAGATACACTCAAGAACACTTAAAAAATATTGATTTTTGAAGCCTGGATAATTGTACCCATCTGAATTAATGCAAACTCCTTTGATGTGTGCAAAGAGGGGAAATGCCTGATGGATCCCAAACTGTCACTGACTGATCTGGAGAATCATGTTCAAACATTTTAAACTCGCAGCAGCAGCAGGTTGGAAGAAACAGCCTAAAGAGAACACTTTTGGAATACAGGAATAATCAAATGAATTTGCCATGTTCAAAGATGAGGTGATTAATAATTAATGACTCTGAGACAATGGAGTATTTGAAATACTTGCCACTTAATTAGCCGCCTCGTTCACTGCATTAAGCAAGTAGTCATATTTTAACAGATTTTTTTAAATTATTTTTTTTAATAGTACAATTTGGTTTTACTCTTGTAGACCTATAAGAGACTTGAAAATCGCCTCCTCTCAGCTCAGACAGACAGGGCAGGTTCTGCCTTCAGGGTGACACCAGGGAGGTCATCTCGGCGTGGTAGCGTGGCCGAGTCTGCTTGTGTGGGTGCCCCAGTGCAGCCGGGCAGCCCCAGCCAGGGCCTCGCAAGGTCTCGCTTCTCCACAGCAGAGGATGCGGCCCCAGCAGTGGCACAAAGCTCTACCCACGCCTGATGGGAAGATGCTGAAGCCTGAAAACCTATGTGAAAATTGACATCTCCTCCCTGTCTTAAGAGGCAGCTGTTTACTACCCAGACCAAGAGCTGTCTTGTAGATACCACTACATCTGCCATCTGAAGCAAAAACCACCTTAAACTTATTTTAATTAACCACAATGAAGATCAGCAGCCAAGCTTTAATGTTACCTTTCAGAAGTAAGGGCATGAAGGGGATTTTCGGAGATTTCATTTTCTTGAATGCATCTCTGTAAGCTTTGTGATTCAGAGAAGGGTCCTACAAAACCATTTGGGTAATAGAGGGAAAAAAAAATCAATTAAGCTACAAAAAGATAAATTCTAAATCCATTACTGGCTTGTGATCTGAACATGATTTAGATATAAATGGTTTCTGCAGGAAACCAGGTAGATGAAGGTTTTCTAAGCTAGGTGACTTACTAAACTTGAACAGAAAACGTAAACAGTGAAAGGAACAAATGCAGTTTTGTTCCAGATGAAGCAGTGCTAAAATGGGAGTAAGCTGTAGAACAGATTCACAGTGACTGCTCCGTAATTTCTCCACAAATTTCTATTAACAAAATCTCCTCATCTTACTATCTAGCACAAAATATATCCCAGAATGTATAGCCAATTAATTTCTTTTAAAAAAACACCACAAAGAAAACAAACAAACAAAACCCCAACCACAACAACAAAAAATCTCAGTAAAAACTGCTTTCACAGCAATGGAGCATACTGGAGATTTTCAAAATCATAGAAACATAGAATGGCTAAAATAAGACAGTAGGTTTTGGTGGTGTTGTGTACAGAATTCAAAAAGTTATCTCAATTTCCCTTGTAAAAAACCATTTTTTTTTACACCACCTCAGACACAATGTCGAAAACACATTAATTTATGAAGAACTGGGCAACTTGGTCTAGTGAGGGATGTCCCTGCCCATGGCAGGGGGGTTGGAGCTAGATGATCTTTAAGGTCCCTTCCAAGCCTGACAATTCCATGATTTTATGACTCTAAGTGCAGAAGCATCACAACCGTTAAAGGCTGGATCTCACGTTCCCTGCACCAGGCAGTGATCTCACCACACACCCACTTCCATGACAGCCAGAGGAAACACTTGTTTATTCAGCTTTGATAATGGTGACAAGGACCTTTAGCCCTGGATTTTGATTTTTAGGGTTTTTTTAAACTTCAGCTGTCCTTTTCTCCTGATCCGCAGCCCATTGCTTTGGATAAAAGCTGATTAACCACCAGAGCAAAAGAACAGTTTCCAAATTGATGCTGAGGAACCGACACTACATTTACCTCTCTCTGCCCTTCCTCTAGCTGTCAGGAAAACACAACTTTTTTGTTTGTTTGTTTTCGTGTTTGGAGACCACCTCTGAGCTCCAGACGGCTGAGCTGCCTTCGGCAAATCACGGATCTGACATGACAAGTTCCAGCTCCAGACAACGCCAGGCGGCCTCCAAATAAACAGGGAGGACGGAAGGCAGGTAAGGACAAGCAATGCCGTTCTGCTGTCAACACCTTACTTACCGTCAAACTTTCAAGTTCAGTGAAAAGTTTCTTGAATTTCCCAGGAATTTTCTGAAGTGGAGAAAACAGAGAGGGAGGGGGGGAAAAGTCAAGTTGATTAAAGAAAAGACCCACACGCAGGCAAAAAAAGCGCTGAGGCATGTTTTTCCCCATGAGATTGCCACATGCGAAGTGCCTGCTCTAAGTACCAACAGCCCACTTTTTCAGACAGTTAACCTCTGCTCCTCAGCTCCAAGAGCCCTAATTACAGACCGTGTTCAGTGCGATGCCAGGGAGGCACCCGACCCTGCAGCTTTGCCTCAGGGACCTGCAGCCTTCTTTTATGGAAACTGCTTGTTAGAAGGCATTTTTATTTTCTTCCCTAGGTTCCATGTCTGCTGCATTTCCCTTAATACCCGTATCAAGTCAGAAGCAGTAACACAGGCTGAGAATTCAGATACTGTGATCACATCCAGGTTAAATCATTTGTTGTAATCAATCTCTCCCTACAATACGGGTTTTAAAAATTAACAAGTGTCATCCTCAGTGCTGTTTGATACAGCAAAAAGATTTCTTTCCTCAGCAAACAATTACTCCACCTTTGGTATCTCAACCTAATCCCACAGGGAGGTGCACAAAGCTCCTTGCAAGGCAGCCCAGGCACAAGCCACCTCCTTGCCCTGCATGCCAACACCTACACTGCTCCAGGAGCATCCACTTCCTTCATCTCTAAGATGCTTTAATGGATTCACCTCAGCATACTCAAAGCAATCGTTCTTCAGTTTGAATTTTGCTGCTGGTGTTTCAGACTTGAAGAACGGCTTGTGGACCTTAAAGCCTATCTATTTTTTCCAGCCATACTAACTAGTCTAGTAGAACGTATCCCCTCTTAGTACAAATCTTATCTTGTCTTTGTCCTCAGACTCTGACGGGCACACTGAGACTACCAAGAGAAAAAAGATTTAGAACAATTAAGTGGATGTGCTGTATGATTAAAATGCTAAAATAACTGAACATGGAATTGCAATTGCACATTTTTAGTATCTTCAATCAAGGAAAGTTAGGCTCATTAAAATACGGTACCGAAGAAAAAAATAGAAGAATATGCTTGGAGCATACTACTTGTTTAAGATTTCAAGTGCAAAGCCAATATAATTCTGGGTCTAAATGGTTGCTTAAATTTAGGTGGTTTCATTTACATGTGTAAAGTGATTATAATTAATTTATAAACATTGCTCTACTTTCTAGAAGTCACATTACTAATGCAAATAACCTTCTGCTTTTGAAATTTCCAATGCAGTAACATTTTACAAATAAAAATATAAGCATGTGACTTTATAAATATTTTACACACAGAAACGTGACATTATTTACAACGATACATATGCAGATGCACTCCTTGTTCCGACAAGCAATACATTCTGCTCTTCCTGAGAGAAGTCCACCGGCGGTGCGTGATCTCCAGAGGCCTCGCCACACAGCAGAGCTCTGCTTGTTTCTGCATGGAGGAGATCCACGTCGCTGCCACTGGGTGCCTTTGATAACAATATTTAGACCCTTCCACTTGTCCCTCAAATCCCAGAGAAATGGGATGAAGGCAACCCGTAAGAGCAGGCAAGGGCAAACCTTACCTAGAGGGGCATTTTAGAAACAGGAGAGACAAGGGCTCTCTCTATCATTGTCCCTGGGTATGTATTGTTCCCTGCAATTTTTGCTTTACCCGGTATTTAAAGCTAGCTCCTCCCTGCCTATCTGAGTGCCTGTAAACTCCCCACAGCAGCAGTCACCGCCCTTGCTTCTCTGTGTGCCAAAGCCACTGACACGCGCAGCAATGTCAGTCAACGGGCACAACCAGCTCAGGCGGAAGACTTTGCTCTGGACAGTGTCCGAGAGGTCTGTAAGTCTGATGGTCGTTGGGTTTCAGCCGTTGGTGCTCAAGAGCATCTCCAAAGCAGGAGATCAAAGCTGTTCTCTGTCACCTTGTAATACAAACTGGTATCTTTTTGCCTGCCTATGGTGTTAGGGGTATGGATAAGGCTTCATCCCATCAATCCTCCCCCAATTTTTGGCTCATCAGCAGATACAGTAAGCTTGCAGATACTACCACTCAGTAATTTACTTGGTTGGAAAAAAATATTTTAAAAAATTCACTATATAAACACAGATCCCAGTGAGACTCTCCTCTAAATGTCCCATGCTCTATCTAGCAACCAGTAGCTTCTTTAGCAGATAATTTCAGTTCTCCAGGATGTTCCTTATTCATGGTCCACTTCCTAACTTTGTTATTCAATATGAGCTGCTACAAAGGAGCTGATAAAGGAGAATTAAAGAGGGTTACTTTTTAGTTACTTTGTAATTTTTTTTAAATGAAATTATAAAGGTATTGCTTGTTTGGAGCCACCTTCATAAAATTTTCTGTCTGACACCTACTTAAAAGGGTAGGATGGATTACCTGACTTTTTAAGCCAGTACGATCGCCTTGCTTTGTTCTTATTTAGAAGTTCTGGAAGGACACATTTGGTTTTATTTCAACAGCTGGGTATCTAAGGTATCTGACACTTCATGTTTTATTTCAGCATGAAAAACCAATAATTAGAAAGAAAAGGCAATTCACCAGTATAGAACCACTGTGAGAAATGATTTTGACAGAGTCCAGGAGATACAAAGATGCGTCTTACCTCCCAGGTCTGAGACAGTCGGCTGACAGACGCAGTGTTGAGACCCATAACAATAGCAAAGAATGAATTCAGATTTCTTTGGGCTTTACAGCTGTGGAATAAAAATATGAATGCTGTATTCTGATTTTTTTGTACTCAGAATCAGAGATAAATGGAATGCACAGGTATCCTAGGTTACTGAGTCCCATTTCAATCCTCAGCACTAACACACAATCATCTTCCACATAATGAACTCATTAAATGTCTTCTGATGGCCACCTGCAGTCTAGGTGATGGGGTCTCTGAGAAGTTTTTTAGCAAATGTTTCACTGCCTCATCAACCCTGTTGTTGGCAGGTTATTTCTTTCCTTTGCTGTCAAAAGTAATTTTCCCTTTTCAATGTTCAAGTTACTCTCAGCTGTCCTTTACCATACAGAAAAATTCCTTGACCTCTATTCTGTTGCATTATAAATATTTCCATCCTCTTTTTCATCTTTTCTGTAAATCGTACATCACCAATTCCTTCAATTTCTCTCTGTGGTCATGCCCTGCAATCTACTTTTCCACATTGTTATTATCCTTCATTGAATTCTTGGTAATTTATTTTAACTTTTCCTTTCATGTATTTCCTTCTTACCAAGGAGACATAGTGAGACGGGGAAGGAAGGAGAAACATAATTACTGTCTTGGCTCTAAGTTCTTACACCTTTCTCCTATGTAAATATAAAGCAAATATCAAATTATTTATTTGGTGCAGCATCACATTTTGTCCTTGCCTTTAATTTGTCAACTATTATCACTCAAGGACCTCTGTCACCGTACTGTTCTTTACAGTCATGCATTTATTTCTTCAGCTCAGTATTAGCATTCCCTAGCTAAATTACTTTGCATCTATCTAAATTAAATCTTATCCTACTGTTGTTTGCACATGCCACTAGACTCCTTAGATCATTCTTTTTTTTCTTCTATCCTCCAATGCATTTGCAATCCCTCATCATTTTTGTTGTCTGAAAATCTGATCAATGTTCCATTTACATATCCCCATAAATTCGCTGCAGTTAGCACTGGTTCCAGCACAGGTCCATCCCTACAGAATTTGCTTGATAGTTCTCTTCTTTGACATTTTACCCTGCATGATCAGACCCTGCTCATTTCTAGTCCATCAGGAAATTCAAAATCCTGAAATATCAAGTTCTTTTTAATGAGGCTCCCCTTTCTCTTACAGATTGTTGAAGATCACTATAAAAATAAGTGTGCATGTGTGAGAATCCTAATTTTAAGATAATTTTAAGAATGAATGAATCCACTGCCTTCACTGGGATTTATCATCATGGAAAAGCACGTTCCAAGGCCTTAGACTGGAAACTTGCCAGCACTTGTTATAAGTTTTATAAAGCTTGCACTCATTGCTGTGTGCTACCTTGAGACGGTGTATTTCTCACTTCACTTCAGCTGTCTTAAAAGTTAATCCTAACTTTGTTGCTTAGACTCCTTTTCTCATTAAATTCAGGCAGTTCCCAAAGGCAATTGATTCTGAAACAAGAAAGATGTCCAGCACAGCCTGGATAAGCCGTCTATTGGATGGGCCCATTTCTCACAAAGAACTGTGGAGAGAAGGTACATCTTTACAGTCAACTGCTGCCAGGGAAGCAAGAAGGCTGCTGCTGTAAGCCATTTATTCTAACCCTATGTTGAGCTTCCTCTAACACCTCAACAGGTTAACTTCTGACAACATGCTAATTCATCTTCTCTAGCAAATAGTTTGCTTTGCATTTTATAAACTAGCTCATCAACAGAAGTGTAGGTATCTGTGTTTCAAAATCTCTGTCTCCCTTTTATGCATTGACAGACTTGCGTAAAAGCTTTCCTCAACAGTGAAGCACATGAATGTTGAACATGAGATCTTAGTCCCAGTACAAGCTGAAAGTCAAGAGACACAGACTCCAGTCTGGGAGCAGAGAACAGGGTGCAGCCAGAGCTGCTCACAGCCCCCTACCTCTCTGCCTTAGCCATAAACAAAATATCAGGGCTGCTTGGCTTGTGCCTTATGATGAGAATCCTCCGCTTAGCACACTACCCTTCCATCCTAATCACTCCTCTTTCATCAGCTCTTCCAGAATTTCTTTTAGAAAGCTGCTCTTCTGATTAAGATCTCAAGCAGACTACACACTCACTCATATGCGTATCCATTATTTCTCCATCTACACACTACGATGATGGGTGCTTCCACAGTGCACTGTCAACTGTATCGAGTCTCCACAACTTCGACTTCACTTAACAGACATGGAATTAATTCAAACAGAGCAACATCTTAGTCTGGTGACAAATATATCCCTATTCATGTGGGGCAGAGGTGAAACATACCCCAGAATGTAGGAATTTTACTGGTGTGCAAGCAAGACACACAGGTCAACTGTTTTTGACATAATTGCACCAAACTTGGGCATTCACATGGCAGAAAATGAACATATCACTGGATATCATACAACTTGCAAACTAAATCAAATCACATTTATGAGTTACACTAGATTAGAAGAATTCATTTCACCACAGGCACTGCTTCCATAGAGAACAGTCCTTTCTATGTGAGCGCCTTGCAAATTAAATCAATCCAGTCAATGAAGGGAAAAAAATGATACATTTTCCCTGAACATCCATATTCAAATACTGCAGTAGGATCAACAAGTGGAGAGAGAGGTGAGGAGAACAGTTGTACCTATTTAAGTCAGTCCATTTCCTTGGTGCCTAAAGTAAGAGTGATTACACAGAAGAACTCTCTGTGTATAGCACATGTACGTATTCTGTTCCAAGGCTTAGAATAAATGCCAGCACTATTTAGTAATAGTGCATCAAATCTAACTGATAAGGAATTCCCCTCCAATAAACAGGAGAGTACTCCAGAGAAGATGACATGGGGTAACAGTTTACTGCAGCTAGTTCCTTCTCTAGAGGTAGCATTTTCAAGATAAAGAGTTTTTTTGGTTTCCATGTAGTCTTTGGTGAATAACTGTGCTGCTCTCAAATAATTTTGTAATAGAGTCCTCAGGTTATTTCTGCTAAGAATGGAGACACCTCTCCACCACCAGAGATTTTGCAGTTAATGCTGCAGATACAACAGTTAAGCTGCTGGAACAGATCTGAGCAGCGTATAGCCTACCACACCTACTTCTGAGCAGTGTCTGCTGCTGTTATTTACGGACTATTTTATCTAGGTATGCACGCTTGCTACGCTATTAAAACACAGGATGACAAATTAGTTTTCTTCCTTTGCTTTTGCACCTACTTCTCTTGTCACCAAATAAAGCATATGAACTCAAAGATTTCTGTTGCAACTTCAGTAACTTACTGGGCAGCAATCTTGATGAACTTTTTGACGAGCTGTACACGTTTGCAGAGCTGGCTGCAGAGAAGTATCTCGGTGGCAACCCAAAGCTGGACCTCATTGCATCTTTGAAGCAGAAGACTGAGATTCTCAGTGTTTTCAGCACCGCCCTGTCTGCTGAACGTGAAGTATATCAGCTCTTGCTGGAAAACATTGACAGCATTATTAGGGATACAAAAACAATTTAAATGTAAATGAACTATAAAATACTTAGAAATGCGTTTTCGAAACAAGACCTGGTTACAAATGGTTATTTTTTCATTATCCATGAGCCAACCACAAATAATTCAGGCTCCAGCTTTGGCTTCGCAAAGTCTAGAGGCTTATTATGGTAGGCAAGTGGACTGGAAGTTTTGCAAGACATGCTTTTATTGTGAGATTTCCCACAGTCCCACTTCTCGTTACAGCTGGGTATAGGACACAAACAATCTGTGTCTTTCTGTATTTCATCATTTCTGTTCCAGTATGAAAAAGCAACCACATCAGACCATTACAGAATCTGAAGAACTTCCATTCAAACTTCTTCCTAAAAGTAGCCAAGCTTTCATCAACAGAGGTATGGGTCTTGATTTCTGTGCAAAAAACCCACACTCACCTTGACCAGTTCTAGATTTAAAGTATCTAACCTGAGCAAAAGAACTCGAAAGACCAAGGAAAGTATCTGATGAGAAGCAAGGGAATTTCCCATTAATTTTCTCAGAAAGTCAAAATGGTTTTCAGTGAATGATATTCTCAAGTGGCATTTTGTACTCTTGTGTATTTTACTCAGCAGCTCACAGCAGAACCTATCGAAGTCACTGAAACAACCTAATGGACATTAAAAGTGGGCCATTATCCCATTTTATAAAGCCTGACCAGTATTTTTTTACCTCCCTGAAGCCTAACAAGAACAGTAACATGACCACAAAATCCTTTTGTGGTTACAGTGATACAAAGGACACCTATTTGTGGATTCCTCTATTTACCGGAACATTATTGAGCGCACAGGACAATTTGCATATATGAAATATTCACACCAACTGTTTTTAGAGAACAATCATGTTCTTCTACACTCTGGAGGCAAATCTCAGTAAACCCCACCAGGAACAGAGGGTGTGAGATGCCCCAGAGCAAGGAAATTACAAACCTTTGATAACTTTTTTCAGTATCAAGGATTGCAACACATCTCCTGGATGTGATTCAATGCCACCACTACTGAGAGCTGCCAAATCATGCTGTCAAGACAGTGAACTGAACATCATGGAATACTGATGCTCTAAAAGTGCACTGTAATGGCACAATGTTGCCTGAGATCAATATACCTGGAAATGGACGCGGTGCTTCTTACCTCATGAATTGCATTGAAGAGGCTCCAGTCAAAGTTTGTCAGTTCTAAGGCAAGATCCCAGGTATTGATTCCCAAAATTCTCACAGACCTTTGCTGCAGTTCCTCATTTTCAGCAAATGGGTTCTGAATCAATAGCCAAGAGCAAAAAATAAAATCCTCAGCAAATGTCAAAAGTTCTGCAATGAAACAGCTACTGGACCAAGGTACCAAACAGAGCTTAGTAAGTAATTTTCTCTAAGTGCACTCTGAGGGTTTCCTCCCACCCACTAATCAAAATCCAGGAGTTATAGCCTATTTAATATATAGCTTGAAACAGAAAATGGGTCAATAGGATCAATGATTTGCTATTCAGGCCTTCTCTCTCCCTCTCTCCCTCTCTAAACCTTGAATATAAAACGCTGATAAGCAGACAGCATAATGAAAATAAAATCCCTGAAACCATCAGAAAACAAAATCTGAATTAAGACACCGGGAAATTTTTGTGTTATCAGATAAAGGAATCACTCTGCGAACACATCAGATTTAGAATAAATACACGCAACTTGCCTATCAATCCCCCTTTACAAATAACATAAATCCATACATTTTATGATTAATCTATCCCAAATGCAATCACCAACACTGTGGATCCTGATCATAAAAATTAGTCAGCATATTACTATGGAGTGCACTGGTACTGTTGATGTCAAGGGTCATTCAACATTCCCATTATTATCTCAGATTGACAAAGTTTTGCATTTCTCTTGCAGTCTTTTACCTCGGCAGGCTGAAACTTAGCACATGAACCATCTGCCAAGAAGAAAGATTATTCTCATCAGCTAAACCATTACTTTGGTACTACATTTCTGACAGTTACAGCAAGTTTTGTGATTTTTATTATGTAACTAATGAAACTAGATTGGCTGTCACCTCTCTGCACTGGAAACGTTCCCTTAATATTCACATTTTCAGAGGTGGCTAGAATGCCAGGGATAACGGGGATGACAGATTACAATGATAGCAGCGTGTCAGCTCTTCGGCGCACATTGATCCAACAAAATGTAAATAGACATTTCTCATCCCTGGGATGAATGCACAGATCCTAGAGGTACTGACAGCATGGAAGAGTCAGTTGCAATATCGTCCTGTGCATTCCTCAAAACATCTGCATAACTATCAGAAAACTATTGAAGAGTGCCTGACTGTTCCTGCCTCACTGAGGTCTTGTGAAATCACGAGGGGAGAGAGTTGCATTCCCATTTTCGAGAACCGAGGGAATAAGAGACCTGCCGCCCTTCGACCTGCTCCCCTCTCCAGTGCCAGCAAGAGAAGTGGAAAGACAGAAGGGAAGAGGACATACCACCAGCAATATATAGAATCATGGAATCCCTCAGGTTGGAAAAGACCTTAAAGTTCATTGAGTACAACCCAAGCCCATCACTAAGCCATGTCCCAAAGTGCCAGACCCACACATCTTTTAAATATCCCCAGGGATAGTGACTCAATCTCTTCCCTGGGCAGCCTGTTCCAGTGCTTGACAACCCTTGGTCTATCGATCCAGCTTCTCCAGGTCCCCTTGCAGAGGCAGTAGCGTCCACCTGGAGCTCTCAAGCAACTGCTCCTAGTCACAGCGTTGGGCCTAAAATCCATACTGTTGGCCCAGAAGACACTGAGAGAGAAGCTGTGTGCTGAGAGCTGCAACCCCAACCAGGCAATGCTGGCGTCATCCCACAGCTCCCCGCCTCCAGACAGCAGCAGCCCTAACACCACCAGCAGCCATCAGGGACCTCCTGGACCTCCCCAGAGCAGGACAGCAGCAGCCTCGCCAACCCCGTTGTGCCCGTGAGGATGCAAGACCACTCCTGCTTGTGACATCAGGCCAAAAAATCCCTACAGCCAGATCAGCCGTCGCTGCAGGATGTGAAGTGTTTCACCTACACATGCAGGCCCTGATCACCCTCCACCAGAAACAATAAAGTTTGTCATTAATCTCCAAAGTCTCCCCTCCTTGCTACCACCAAGGAAGGACCCAGCACTCCTCACCTTACCCATCTCTTTCTTCTTCCCATCAGGTCCTTCTGCCAAGAGCAGCACCCAGAGCAGGCAGCTGAGGGAGCTCTGGAGGAGAACACAACCTTCCAGCAGCACCCAGTGCCAGCTCGGAGCTCACCAGCCCCAGCACTACCAGACAGGCAGCACCGCATCCGTCCCACAGCTCCCCAGGAGCAGCCCCCCCTGCACGGGCAGCCAGGCATCACTGGGGCTGTCCCACAGATCCCCAGCGCCTGAGGGCAGCAGCCACACCAGCACACCTGGGCCTCACCACATACAAAACCACTCCTGGTTGAACCATCTGGCCCAAAACCCTGCAGGCAACCCAGAAGATGCCACTCCCCAGCCCCAGCAGGCAACCAGCACTGGGGCTGCCCCACAGCTCCCTGGCATGTCCCAGCCACAGCATGGCCACACGGCTGCCACAGCTGTGGTGCCCAGTAATTTTGGTAGAACCCACACAACATCTATTTCTACGTGCAATAATTCCACAGAGTTTATTCATCACCTTGTCCGTACCAGCCACTTTAAGTGTTACAGAGATACAAGGTGGGGGCAAAAGAGTCACATGGGCCCTGAATAATCCTCATCCCATCCACTCCTGTACAAGTGCAAGTCAGCTTTTCCAGGCTGATGCAGATTGAAAGATTTAAGCTGTACAGAAGCTTTGGTCTATTTCAAATTGATTAATAAATTCCATTACTGTTCAGTCAAATAACTGCTGTTAATGCAAAGTATTTCTTTTTTTAGGTATAGAGCAGCTCAGTAAAGCTTTACTAAGAAAGCAAAAAATAAATTCTGTATTGAAAAAGCCCTCGGAGAATAATATTAAAGTTCTTGATCTGGAATCAGACCCCCCTCTCCCCCCCCCAAAAAAAAGTATACAATACAGATCCTTACCAAAGAATCAGTCACATCTTTTCGGTACACAAACATACGACTGGATGACTCGAAAGATTTTGATATAGCCAAGTCATTTGGCTGTAGTTCATGTTTTTCTGTAAAAACAGAAAACAAAACATAAAAGCTTCAGAAAAGGAGTGGAAGCTGTATCTAAATATGAGAAAAACATGACAAATATATTTGTAAAGCCACATGAACTTCTTAGAATGTAACTAAGCATCAAATCCAGGCCCTACGGGGACCAACTTCTCCACACTATTAAGGTACAATAAAGGCGAGATGTCTCTGATGAGGGAGTAGAACATAAAAATTTCCAGCATCTTCTTTCAACCTGGACTTCACACATCTATTCTAATCATCTAGACTAACCTCCTATGAATTACAGAATATTTCATTTCAACCCAGCGTATCTAATGTAAAAGTAGTGAGCTTTGTTAGAGCAACACGTCTCAACCTGTAGAGACTGAGCTGTTGTGTGCCACTGACAGACAAGAGCAGGGGTGGAGATGTCATCAGTAGCCACAGCCACTCGACAGGAAAAGAAGTTTAAAGGATCTCTATGCCATGTAATTCACCCCACGGAGCATACCTGAAGAGTCCTTTGTAGTACAGTATGCAGAGAGATTCCTCAAAACTTAAAAGTAATTCATTTAGGAAACATCTGAGTAAAAGAGCAGGACACATCAAACTGGTGGCTAAGAGAAAGGACTTTTTTTCCTTTCCTCTCCAGAGTACTAGTTCACTTCTGGGCTATCTTGGATGCACCAGAGAAAGGTGTGGGGGAAAAAATAAAGCAAAACTCAGAACACAGCTAAAGAATTGTCCTGGGAAAACTGTCTCTTCCTGCAGGCTCCTGGTAATCTTCTGGAGACCCAACACATAAGATTTGATTACAGTGACGGCATTAATCACAGAATCACACGATGTCAGGGGCTGGAAGGGACCTCAAAAGATCATCTAGTCCAGCCCCCCCACCAGAGCAGGAACACCTACAGTAGATCACACAGGAATGTAGACTCAAAAGCACTACGAACATGTTGACAGCTACCTTGGATGTTTGATTGCCCACTGGGGAGGAGTTGGACCAAGAGGAGTCCAAGCGTCAAACACCATTTCAGACTGTTGTCCCACTTACTCATGCTCCCACTGACACCAGATACACTTACGCTGAACTATCTACATGTTTTTTTCAATGTAATTTTGGATAAAAAGAGCTTGGTTATTCATTTCAGGAGTACAATAAAAGCGTGTTCTCCAACACTCGTAATGCTGCCCTCAAAGCAGACAGCAGGTGACAGTTTTGAGTCACACAAATAGCAAAAAAGCAAAGAAAAAAAAAAGTTGCAGGCTGCTGCCTACTGCTTGCAGCACAGGAGTTACAACGCAAAAGAATAAAGATATTGAAATTGTAGTATCTCCAATTAATTCATGCAACACAACTAAATAACATTTTAGGGGTTACAGCGGTCATGTACGAATGACAGTCCTATTGTATCTGCATTTTAATTACTGTTTCTTATTGAACAGCCACACGGCAAACCAACTCTATTCTGTGGCTTTCTTGGGAACCAATGTGGTCTAAAGACAATAGCATGTTTCATTATTTATGAATTGTTGGTTTTCTTTAGCTAAGTAGGCAGCACCAGATGTATTGCTATCAGAGCAGAACTTGCCCTCCTCTTGAACAGGAGCACAAGACCTGAGAAACAACAGCAGCACAGTGATTTTGCAGCGCTGTAAAATGCATTGGAGGTGAGTTTGGGGACACACAAGGGTATAAATCCTGCAGAAGATGTAGCCCAGCTGGCCAGGCCACCTATGTGAAATGTTCATGTGTATTTGCTCTGTGCTCAGGCTCTTGATAGTCAGAGCAGGGCACCATCTCCCAGCCACTGATGCCGGTACCCTGAAAAAAACCCAGTTAATTAACAGAGCTTGGCATGGGGGAGAAAAATGTGACGTGTGACCTTCCACTTCTGAACCAAATAAATAAACAGAACAAGCCATCATTTGTGTATATTTCATTTAGCTAGACTCAGAAAAAAAAGTAGCAGTGAGTGCCGTATCTCTAAGGGTGCATCTTCTGCCCCAGTGGATCAACACCAACTAATGTTACTGGAGAATATGGATAGGATGTTCTACGCCTAGTCCTGCTCTGTAGTTCCAGTATTGCATTTCTACACACCTAGTTAAACTGCTTCTTTTATATTCCCTAAGAACCAAAAGATACTGCAACAAGCAAAACAACCTGACCAAAGACATGCCAGACACTGAAGAAATCTCGGGCGTTTGGCTGGTCCTCTGGCTCATGATCAGTCTGGTCTTCCTGAAAAAAGACAATAAGCCTTTCTGCTCAGTGAGATACACTAAAATAATAGGCAAAAAATGCCAACTGTAAGCAAGACTGCTTACAAAATATTGCTTAGATTGCTCTCAGTATCTCAACTGTGCAAATAGATGTCTCTTTTCTCCTGGAGAATATTCACTACCCATGCCACAAATAAGGAAATGACTACGCATAGAGTATTTGTTATTCTCTCTTATTTTCTTAAGCAAACCACACCTCATCACCTTCCAAATTAATTTAAATGTGAAAGGAGAAGATTTATCTGTAAAGAAAAATAAAAACTTGCAATACTGCTGGAGAATGAGAGTCCTTTGCACTCCCTTCCCCGCGAGGAGATGCTGTATCTGAAGGTACCCAAGAATGAGCTGTTGCCATGGAAACGACTTTCTAGGAAGCAGCTCCTCATTGTTGCTGTGGTCATCCAGCTGTGGGCCTGCTCAGGAACAGCTGTATCCTTACACCAGAAAATGTCAGCCCTCCCTTACCTGATGCACTGACAGGTAAGTAATCAGATGAGGGGAAGCTATTTACCACCAGAGAACGTGACTGTCACCAGCGCCAACTCCTCCTCCGGGTACTGGATCTTTTCTGCTACGATCTTCAGTATCTCTTGAGCTGAAGTGGATACTTGAGCTTTCACACTGACATAGGAGTGCTCTGTTATATACACACGGCAGAAAACTGCACAAGGGAACAAAAAGACATGCTCAGCAGGAGGCAGAGGCATCTGAACAGAGCAGGGGAGAATGTCGAAGACCTGGCCATGGCAATGCCGAGGCTGCCTGGCAGCTGCGGCACCCTGACCCACAGGGACATTAAACTAAGCACAACCGTCACCAACATCCCCCTTCCCACCCCCCCTCCATGGGAAATGAAAGGGGCAAGCAAATGGAAACAGCCACTCCCCACAGCAATATCTATTTAAGACACCCTATCATGAGGATTTGTGACAACCTCCTCTGCTACCTGTCTTTGCACATTCAGCTGCTGCCATCTTTTCTCTCTTCCTTGAAAAATCATATTCAGCATATTTCATACCCACTGCAGAGATTATTTTGGACCTCCACCTGGAACAGGAGGCTTCACAGGAACAGTGTTCCCGTCCTCAACCACTCCCATTAGCTTATCTGTCTAGACATCTAAACTACTTGCACTGCCAGAGTATTTCAGCACCTGCAGAGACAGCCCGAACAGCAATGCAATCAGTCCTGACAACACTTTCCTGAAGCACAAATAAAAAGGACTGGTTTGGAGAAGTTCCCTGGGCCCATCACTTCTACTCAAGTCCATGAGTTGGGAGATTCCCAGCAGTAATGCTGTGGTCAGCTCAGCTGGTATTTTGTTTCTGCTACAAAAAAAGGATGTATGCTCTCTCTGCTTGCTAGAATTTTAGATTCACATCTTTTGCCAAGTTTGCTGGAGCCAGCTGTTTGACATACATCTGCCATACTTAAAAGGGAGGAAACAGAGCTGTAGACTTGCATAAATATTTCAAAAATTACATCTGCTAATAAGAATCACCACAACTCTTGGTTTCATACTCACTTTAGTTCTTAATTGTTAAAATTTGTTTGCTTCTACTTCAGAACTTCTTACGGCAGACAGGCTGCTACCATGTCAGTATAAGGCAAATCTTCCCATCTCTAGAAATGCTGTATTATTAAAATTATTTTTATTGACAGATGTATGTAGCAATAGTTCTTTGCTTGTCCTACAAATCTTCATGGCTTCAGGTCACTTTCATTAACTGAGACCATGCCAGAAGCAGTTAAGAGCTCTACCCTCAGGAATATCTTTTTTCTTTTGGTGTTGTAGTAAAGAAAAAATGAAGATGAGAAGGAAGGAGAAACTTAACATTTAGCCTTCAGGAAGAAAAGTCATTTGATTTTATAATGTTTTCTTAACCTGTCTCTGCTGACAGACAGTAAATCAGAAGCTCATCCTATGGCAGAATCTCTTTTCAGAATGGATATAACTCATGAAGATAGAGACATCAAATTGCACTCTAAATTACTAGGTAGAAAAATAAAATTTACAATATCTGACAGGAATATTTGGGCTCCATACGAAGAGTGCGACACAACTTGCTTACAGTTAATTTGCTTGAAACGTCGCTCCTTTCTGTCATTTGGAAGGGGACAATGACAGCAATACTAATTTATAATTGGGCTATCGACATATTCTTTGTTTAACATGGAACTAAACCAACCCACAGGTCAGGTCTTCAAGCACAACCATCGTATGCATTCTGCCAAAACCTGTTCCGTCATGCACCATTCCAGTGTCCTATTTGAGGTATCTACTGGCATGGGCTGTGCCATCTCTTCCAGAAGCCTGTGCTGCCCCTCCACGAGGTGCAGGAGGGAAATACCAGTAGGAGGAAGCTGCAAGTTGCCCTGATAATGCTTACGTCAAGTAATAAAATGCATCCGGTGAAGTGATACAATGTGGCTTGGACAGACTCATCCTCCACAAGCACCACCACCACACCAACTTAGAAGTCCACCCTCAACATCTGTCTCTTCTCCTCAACTCCACTTTCGCTATTTCATTCCCTCGATCTCATCATCTTCTGTGGCTCATGCTCTCGAAGAGTGAGATAAAAACAATATAACCCAGTTGGGGCTGGCCTTGCTGGGTCCTGTCCTTCCTGTCCCCATGGCCACACAGTCTGTCCCCTCTCTAGTGGCAGCATGCTTCCCTCCTCACTCACCCAACAAGCTGTGCCTGACTTCTTAAGAAGAATGAGTGCGGGGGTTCTCATCTGGAAATAATACTCCTAGAAGAAGCCTTGATAACATAAAGTCAAATAAACTTGTATCTGAAGCACAGAAAGAGGGTCTCTATCAGCAGCACATACTGGGCAGAAAGATCTGGCACTGAAGGAGCTCAGTTTTTATCCAAAAATGTCACAAATTTTATCCATTATGTCACAAATGAGCACTAAAAATAGACCGACTCCAAGTGAACTTCCAGAGTTTTGTTGCCAGTGAGAAAAAAAGATGTATCATCAAAGGGTGAGACTTCCAGGTAAGAGGTCCTCCTGCCTGTTCTCTGCCTGTGGACATGGCGTTATCCTCCTCTCTGCCTCCTCGCTCCTACAAGCACTACAGGAGGGTGACAGCCTCACGGTGTTACTGCATTAGTAGCGACGAAGGGAAATTACATTTTGAAATGGTTGACACTGACGTGCAGTGGCACCTTGCACTCCACACAGAGATATTTTCAAGGAGAGAAGGAACTAAGACAGGGTGCCCAGAGTTAGCAGAACCTGGCCCATTACATGTGACGGACTTATTCATTCATCTTTCACAACCGAGATCTAGGTCAAGAGCCTGAGAGCATGAAATGAAGCAGGAGTAACGCCTGGTGCATGGGCTGCCAGCACTCCTGGGAGGCACACAGGGCTGCTGGGGGAACTGGACAGAGCAAAAAAACCCTTGAGATACCACGTTACTGTCAAGCTCCTGCAAAGTAGGAGGCAGGAAGGGAACCTTTAGTCAAATCTTTCTTGTTTTGTGGCCCTAAGGTCCTGTTCAGAAGCTCTATATCAGTTTTTAAAAAACTCTATATTACAGCCAGCCCTTGAGAAACAATTCCACAGTTTTGGAGTTTTTCCTCTACTCTTTCAATCATACTTACTTTCTTCTGTTTCATTCATGGTTCCTCTGTGCTGCAGCCAGTTCTCCTTTAGACTGAACTGGTGGAAAAAGGTTTTATTCTGTAAGAGAGAGGGTGAGAAAAAAAATAAGACAAAATTTAAAAAAAGAGGCAACGGTGACTCTATGCATCCCTGCCCTTTACAAAGCAGTGTTAAGTCAGCCCATACATCTGTCCAAAAAGGTTTCTGTATAGGAAATCCACCCACCTTTCCTTGGATCAGTAAATTGGGAGTTGCCCTACTAAAAAATGGCCACAGTGAGGATTTTGGAGGAAGTGGGGCATGCCAAGGCTAAGGAATCCAAGCTTCTCTGTAGTCATGTTTGGAGCCCATTTCTTACACGCTTATTCTTCTATATGTTTCCTAAGTATCAGTCAGCCAACTTAGCAACTTCACTACAAACTCATGTTCTGCTTTCCACAGTAGCATTTTAAGCTTATTACATACTTCAGCTTCAGCCCAGTAAATTTGATGAGGACAGCAATTCACCTCTGTGCAGTTTGTACAACAACTTTCTCCAACTGCATCTTCTCCCTCTGGTTAAATAAACAGATTAACGTTCTTCTCTTTCTTTCTCTGTCCCTGTCACAACAAATCCCCCCTTTGCTCTGTCTACATGACATCCATGTCAATGCCTGTGCTCAGCCTGGTTTGCCCAGGTTGCTACATCTCTCCAGCTCTGTGGGGACACACTCCTGGGTCTCTCCTGAATTCTGACATCTCAGAGAGTCTTATTAAGATGCTAATACTGTCACAGTCACTGCAGATTAGCTCACACAGCTGATATCCAGGCTGCACTAGCAGGGAAAAAAATAGTCCTTAAGCAGCATTGGAGACTTAACCTCACTGATGTATCCTGTCATATGTTTGGCCACCAGTCACTTTCCATTGAGAAGCCAAGACAAGAGAAGGAAGCGGGCAGAGGGGAAGAAAGTGAGATAAGTTGTCTAGCAACCAGTAACAATCAGGTTTGCATTACCTTTCGGTGAGGTGAATACTCATCTACAGTGCTGAAACAAAAAGGAAAATACAAATTATTCTTTCCAGTCAAAGCTTAGGAAAAGGAAGTTTTAGCCAGTATAAAGTTTACATCAGAAAGTTTTTTAACATTAAACGGTGACTGCAGAACAGCTACAGAACTCCTTCAGGGAAAGATAAGGGCATCTGGCTCAGCCACAAGAATCTTCTGTGACTTGCACAATCAGTGTAGTGAAAAGCAATGCTGTTGGCCCACAAGCTGCCGGAGAAGACGGGCACAACTTGGGCACCCCAGGGCAAGCAGTCAGGGTCACACCAGGGACACAATTCTTTCCACTTCCCAACAGCTAATCCATGGAAACAAACTCCATTTGTTGGAAAAATGTGCCAAGGAAATTTCTTTTACAAACACCATAATTACAAATGTGCAAAGGAAACGTCTTTTACAGATACTGCAGTTATTAGCGGCATAACAATCACAACATGACTGAGATTTGCTTCTAAGTACTGCAGGTTGCAGAGAGAGACTGAGAATTAAGGTACCACCGGAAGTCACAGACTGCAGCCTCTGGGAAATTTTGCCAAGTTTTCCAGAAAGTATCACTTTACTTACAAGTCATCCCAATCAAAACTGCTGATAGGCCCCAAAAACATCAGAGAAGACTGAATAATCTAGTTTGAGTTTAAAGAATGATTTGTAAAATAGATGATTTGTAAAGATATCATACTTGTATCACTCATCACTTGATCTTTACTGAATTGCAGCAAAATGACAACAAAAATAAATTATAGTCTAAATAAAAGGAGATTTGATCACAAACACAGTCAACACTTACTGACGACGATGCATCCCAAGTATCTTCTGAAATTCTTTCAGGTCCTTCTCAAGAATGGGATATTCATACACATCATCTAACACATTCCTGTATATCGTCTACAAAATAAAATGGTATCTGTAAATATCTGATAACTCAAACATAAATCTAAGTCATCACATCAAAAGGTCTAAATCCATTCAGGCACTTGACTGCTAAAGAAAATCTCACCCTTATACCTATGCAAGACCCATACGGTACAAATGCTCCTGTTTAAATTTCCAGACTGGTCAATATTCAGCTTGCCTTTGGAGAAACACTTAATGTATCATTACCAATCAAGAGAGCAAAATGCTGACACTCTTGTCTACAAACAGGAAGATTTAAAACAACACTTGCGGCTGTTACATGAAAACTGTGTTAGGTCAGAACACATTCTGAAGCTTAAGAACACACCACACCATTATTTGCTCAAAACAATAACAAACAGGTTCATTTGATTAAGACTTTTAAAATGGAGAATGTTCTCCCTCACTTCTCCTCACACCTGCAAGCATTTTGACTTGAGGTGGTGGCTCTCACAAAGAAGTAACAACATGCTCCTAGTTGTAAACCAATAAACAAATAAACTCTACTTATTTCTGGGGGAGGCACTGGCTGAATATCCACAATCAGGAACCTCGGTTAAATGTAAAAGACATTGCTTCAGATAAGAGTTAAATAAACCGAACTGGCTTTCATTATGGAAACTGTAGGAAATATTTTCTCTATTTTTTTTTTTTTTTCAAAACCTGCACAAAGATACTTCTCTTTCGCTTTCGAGAAAATGAGGATCATATGTATGAGTCATCAGGTTTGCTTTAGCACAATTAACACTCCTACATTCATAAACTTCAGTGCAAATTAACCTGGCCTACAACCCTATATAATGCTTTTGCAGGAGTAACTTCAACCATCACTAACCTAACAGAAGCCTCAAGCAGAGAAATTCTGTGACAATAGTCCCACACGTCCATGGCCAGAAAGACAAGCCCTGCATCAAGACAGATGCAGCACAGTCTCACTTAACTGATGGCTGGAATGATACCCCCCTTCCACTACAGCACTACACATCCAGCACTAAACAGCAACAATCCTAAGGTGTCTGCTTCCACATACAAAGTATTCTACTGAAAAAAAATTACGGGGGGGGGGGGGGGAGGGGGGTGGGGAAAGGAAGCTCAAGACTTCGCCCTTTTCCAAATTCAGTTCCATGTTTCATCCCTTTGCCTTGAGTGAACGACTGAAGAGAACTAAAAGGCCCTTAAGATCTCCAGTTGCAGACAGTCTCATCAGGAAAAGTGGAAGATCCTGCAAAATCTCCTAAAATAATCTTTCAAACAGCAGGGGAGGGGGGGAAAAAAATTGAAAAAAATCAACAACCAGATGGATCTTGCATCAGCGAGGACATGGCTATTTGCAAATTTACAAGGGCATTGTAAGTGCTTTGGAACTCCATCAGAAAGATCAGAAGATCCTTGCTAATAAGTGAGGACATCATTTTACTTATTAAATATACATAAAGCTGTGCTGCTCTCCATGTGTGTCTGACAAACACTGTGGAATAACATTTCACTCAAAGTAGCATCTCTTACAAGAACCTCAAAATTCTCTCTTCATCCGTGATCCTCTGGATACTGACTGTAGACCCTGTTATGGCAGACACAGCTAAGGTACTCAAGGAATCTCCCCAACTTTGTAGCTTTATTTCTCACCTTCCTAACTCTTCCCACTTTCTAGAGAACATGGAGTTCTCTAAGGTTCACAATTGAAAGTCATGTTTTTGACATTGAATGTGTTGACATTACAGGTTTTCTGTTCAAGCTGCCTATCTCTAAGGCATTCAAGGAAGACACGTGAATTACTTTCTATTACAGATTTCATGGAGAAAATTTAAGTATTAAAAATTATGCTTTATAGATTTTGCTGTTGAGGCTTTTTTAGACACATTATGTTAATTAAACAATGCTGAAATGCATCAGAAAGTGTTTCAATACCTTTAAAAATTGTTTTAAATGCTCATCTTCATGTAACCAGTCTTTGTAAAGAGAAGTCCACTGAGACACCAAATGCAAGACTTTTCGTTTCCTACAGGACACATCAGAGTCGTCTTCTTTCCCTTGGTGGTTCTTAGCACAATAGGTACAGCAGGTTAAGGAAAAAATAATAAGGTTTCACTGAAACTTAACACTTAAGTGATGGAAAAGACTTTGCAATCATCTCATTTGCTAATGAAAGACTTTTTTCATTTTTTTTTACTATATTGCTCAGATTTACATGTTTTATCCTGTCTGGAGCTTTAAGAATTTCATCAACTTTTTGGAATGTTATTCACAATAATAGAAATGTCAGTTCATCCTGTGTGCCAACGGGATTTTTTTCTTGACAGATTAGAGAGGCGACTCCATAAAAGTAAAATCAGTTGAAAAGGAATTATACAATGTTGAGTCACATCTTTTCTGCAGAACTGGGAACAAACCTTTGTCCTGCACACAGATGCCAACATGACTGTCTGTGGGAAGGAGGACAATGCATCACTAGCAACAACAAAAAATCCAGGCAGAGGAAGTCGGTTTCTTTTTTCCCCTGAACAAATTACACTATCTGCAGAAATAACATTATTAAAATTTTAAAAAGGTGAAAGAATCTATTTCCACCATTGTTCTCTATTCATAAATACAGAAACATCAAATGACAGAAGATACCCACTTTGCACATTGTTCCTGTCCCTTTGTCCACAAAATGTAAAGAAGAATAAAAGAAAAGGGAAAAAAAAGAAAAAGAAAGTTCATTTTATAGCTAAAGTTCATTCAAACTATGCTCCATAGCTTATGGAAGTAATTGGAAACAAAAAAATATATTTTATCTCAGAATGAGATAGGCTTAGACACTATATCACATGATAAAAGGAGCAGATTGTAAAATACTTTTTCTTCATTTGCTCTCTTCATGTATTCTGAAATGTATTACACAGATATAGGTATTCTAAGAATTAACATATAGGTCTGGCTAGGTTTTAACACCACTTTTAATACTATTCTATAACAGTTGTAAAGGTTTCTTTATCTTTAAACAAAACCAGCAGACGTAAGATTGCCTTGCTGCTCTGAGTTAGGCATCTGTTTCAATACATCATTTAGGCATTCTTGTTAACGAAGTATGCACATACACAAAGGTGCATGTTTTGGATATGGGTTTATTCAGAGGTAGCTTTATCTTTGTACACCCAACTTCAGAGAAGAAATTTTCTGTTTATTGATTACTCAACTATGCGAATTCAAAGTGTTTTCACAGGTGAACGTGTATCTGTTTATCTATTTACAGGCACATGCCAGTTAGGAGAACTCATATTCAAATTTGGATTTAATGTTTCCAGTTTGAATCTTTCCTACCACAACTCATATAAATTAAGAAAACAACATAACCCGACCTTTGAGAAGCTAAAAATTTGAACTGAATTCCAAGTATCATAAAACCTTACGAAAATTTGACTGGAGAACAAAAGACCTTCAAAGATCATCTAAACTAGTCCATTCAAGTTCACCCTACGAGAGGCTCAAAAACACCCTATGTTACTCTTGGAATATACTTTCTAGTTTATTAGTATTATTATTATTCTCCAATCTCAAAGATTCTACTCTCTCACATATTTTACACTCCGGTGTTCCTTTTCTTAATGTAAAAAAAATATACTTCCTAGTATCCAATATGAAACTGTCTTAGAGCAGTCTAATCTCACTGCTTCTTGTCCCATCTGGCATTGATACATGAACTGATTCTTCCCTTCCTCTTTAGGTACCTGAAAGATTGTCCTATTTATAGTTTCTCTTTTTTCAGTAAAACAATCCCAATTCTTTCAATCCTTCTTTGTAGATCTTTGTTCTAGAATATTGGCAAGTCACAACTGCTCTCTTCTGAAGTTTCTCCTATTTGTTCATGAATTTCTTGGGGTGTGATGCCAAAATCTCAGGTGTAGTCCATCTTTTAAGCATGCAATAATAAATATTAGACAACTTTTCTCATTTGTCACCATTTCTACGTGCAACCTCAAAATAATCACACAGGCTTAGAGTTTGAAAATATCAATATGCTAAGAGCAAAACTAATTATTCCACTTTGATAGCTCCTGTTTGATATAAGGCTTGATAAACTGAGGTGTGAGTGACCTGTGTTAATACAAGACCCAATAAAAGGATATTGCCTCAGAAGTGCCTGGCACAAGTCATCAGTCGTCATGAAGACTGTGTACGTGAGAAGGAAGTCATCCAGGAGAGTTTCTGCAGAGGAAGACAAAAAATACCCGAAGTACAACACATTAGTGAGGAGTGTATCTATTCCCATTAGAGTGCATGGCAGCAATAGGACCCCCTCCAAGATTAAAAAAAAAAAAGTCCAAATGTTCAGAATACCTCAAACTAAGCTTTTAACAGTTAACAGAATGATGCCACTGCAGAGAACACATCCTTTATTTAACAAGCACATCCTCAGGTCTCAAAGAACCAACAAGCACAAACACGCACAAAACAAGCCGCGGCTCAGGAATCAGTAGGAGAGAGTCCTTATCACAAACACCACCATCCTGGTGGGCTCTGCTGCATACAAAGCAACTTTTCCACTTCTGTATTTTCCACTTCTGTATTTTCTTCCTATATGCACTGTAA